TCTGTTCGAGGCCTTCTGTCCGGAGCCAACAGAACTCCCTTGGAGGGTTTCTGTTCGAGGCCTTCTGGGAAAAAACGTTCGGGAAGAAAACAAAAATTAACCGTATCTCTTGAGAAATAGATTTTTGGACGGCATTCGTGTCCGCAGGTCGCCCGCGCACACGAGTCGCGGATTTTCTTCTCCGTTTCGGGATTTGATCGGCACCCCCCCCTGCGCGTAAGAGAGAGCCTTTCCCTTTAGGAATCTTAACTCCTTAAAAGAGGCTTCCCTTTAAAAGGGGGTGAAAATCCCTTGAGTTTTTCGGTGTGGGATAAAACACACTAGAAACTCATCATTTTCCCAGTTTTTCCATTACAACGAGCGAACTTCGAGAATCAATTTCTCATTCACCCGTTATCCGTTTTGAGCGTACCATATATCGAATTGTAGCCCTTAACAAGGACAATCCGAAACCACTTTGACCCGACCCAAATCGGAAGTGGACCCCACTCAAATAATTGCCCCAAAATGACCATTTAATGCAATTTTTAACACATTTTTCCAACAATCCCCCACATGAATGAAAATTGATTTTCGAGACTTAAAAAGACACGAAGATAGGAGGACACGTTGTGTTCACCGGATGATCCTTGCATACGGAGAGGTAGGTTTTATCCTTTGAACCTTCCGTTGTAAAGACACGTTTATTTACTGGCTGTCTAGTAGACTCGATGTCCTTGAACTATACTGCCGTCGTGTAAACATTGACTTATCTTTACACAAGAACCTTCCAACTTTGTTCCGTTCTCATGGGTGTGCCCGTTTTGGCCATGGGTCACCGTCCTGGTTCTGCAAGAGTTTCTAAAGAACTGAGCCTTCACAGTTCTCCTTCGAAGCGGCCCTCTTCTCTCTCACATAGGTGATTCTTTCACGAGTATCCCGCATACTCTTCCAATGTTATCGAGTAGATCAACATTTTAGAATCATTAAAGCAAACGTTTTTGCTAACCTCGTGCGGGAGTCACTGTTTTAACGAGGAGTGGGTAGGAGTCTGGGACCCCCACAGTGACCATCCTTCGCTCTATAATTTAGTTGTCCCTTTTGAACCTAGGACCAACTAGGTTGGGTATCCACTATAGAACTTTTCAATTCACGGGCTTTAGTCCCATTCCTCGTGACAACTTCTCCAACAATTCTCTATCCAATGCCTTGGTTAGCGGATCCGCTATGTTATCCTTTGACTTCACGTAGTCAACAGTGATAACACCCGTTGTGAGGAGTTGTTTAATGGTGTTATGTCTACGACGAACGTGTCTAGACTTACCATTGTAGAGATTGCTCTGTGCCCTTCCAATTGCCGCTTGACAATCGCAATGTATGCATATTGGAGGGACATGCTTCTCCCAACTTGGAATGTCCTCGAGAAAATGGCGTAGCCATTCAGCCTCTTCAGTGCACTTATCCAAGGCTATTAGCTCAGATTCCATCGTGGATCTAGCTATTAACGTTTGTTTCGAGGATTTCCATGACACGGCTGCACCTCCCAAAGTGAAAACATATCCACTTGTGGACTTAGAGTCCTTTATGTCGGATATCCAACTAGCGTCGCTATACCCTTCAAGTACAGCTGGATATCTTCCATAGTGCAGTCCAAGGTTTTGGGTTTTACGTAAATACCTCAAAACCCGTATTATTGCCTTCCAGTGTTCATCACCGGGGTTGCTAGTATATCTACTCAGCTTACTAACCACAAAGGCAATATCAGGCCTGGTACAACTCATTAGATACATCAAACTTCCAATAATCCTAGCGTATTCTACTTGAGAAATACACTCTCCACGATTTTTGGTAAGATGAGTGTTTTTATCTAATGGCGTCCTTGCCTCTTGATAATCATCCTTATTAAATTTAGTAAGGATTTTATCAACGTAATGGGATTGGCTTAGCGTTAGACCGTCAGGTCCTCTAATTATTTTAATCCCAAGGATTAAATCGGCCAGCCCCATATCCTTCATGTCAAATTTAGAATTTAACATGCTTTTGGTAGAGTTAATCATTAGATTATTGCTACCCACGATGAGTATATCATCCACGTATAAACATAAAATGACATAGCCGTCTACCGTGCTTTTCACATAGACGCATTTGTCACTTTCGTTTATCTTAAACCCATTAATTAACATTGCATGATCGAACTTTTCGTGCCACTGTTTAGGGGCTTGTTTCAATCCATACAATGATTTAATTAATTTACAAACCTTCTTTTCTTGGCTTGGAACACGAAAACCCTCGGGTTGTTCCATATAGATTTCTTCGTCTATATCGCCATTTAGAAAAGCGGTTTTTACGTCCATTTGATGAACTTCCAAATTCCGCAAAGCGGCAATCGCTAGTATCATCCTAATGGAATTTATTCTCGTCACGGGAGAATACGTGTCAAAGTAATCATGGCCCTCGCGTTGCTTGTATCCCTTGATTACAAGTCTGGCCTTATACTTATCAATGGAACCGTCTGGTTTCATTTTACGTTTAAAAATCCACTTGGATCCCAAAGGTTTACATCCCGGAGGGAGATCAACCAATTCCCACGTGTGATTTTTTAGGATAGAGTCCACCTCACTTTTGATGGCTTCTTTCCACATAGGACCTTCAGTAGACGTCACGGCTTCCGTATAAGTCCGTGGCTCATTTTCTACCAAACATGTTAGAAAATCCGGTTCATTTTCTACCATACATGTTAGAACATTCGGTTCAACTTCTATCAGGTAGGTGAGAAAATCCGGTCCGAAGGATTTTTCAATTCTAGCACGTTTGCTACATCTGGGTTCGGGTTCTTCTCCGGATCCCTCGCTAGTATTTTCCATAGCTACGTCAAATGTTCGTTTTGACGTGCTAGGCCCTTCGTTGGACTTGCATGGAAATACATCTTCAAAGAATGAAGCATTCCTTGATTCAATTATTGTGTTTTTATGTACATCCGGAGTATTCGAATCGTACACTAAAAACCGATAAGCACTACTATTTTGTGCATATCCAATAAAAATACAGTCCACCGTTTTTGGACCTATTTTTATTTTCTTAGGTGTTGGTACAAGCACCTTAGCAAGACACCCCCACACTTTTAAATATTGATAGGAAGGCCGTCTGCCTTTCCACAACTCGTACGGAGTATTATCATATTTTTTCCGGGGAACCTTATTTAAAAGGTAATTGCTTGTCAAGATTGCTTCGCCCCACATATTTTGTGGCAAGCCCGAACTTACTAGCATCGCGTTCATCATATCTTTCAATGTGCGATTCTTTCGTTCGGCAACACCGTTTGATTGAGGTGAATAGGGTGCGGTACGTTCGTGTACTATACCCACACTAGCGCAAAAGTCACCAATTGGTGCTTCATACTCACCACCTCGATCACTCCTAACCGTCTTAATCCGTCGATTAAGTTGGTTTTCCACTTCATTCTTATAAAGAATGAATTTATCGATTGCTTCGTGTTTATTTTTTAATAAATAAACGTAGCTATAGCGAGTGCTATCATCGATAAAGGTAATAAAATATTTATTACCGCCACGTGTTTGTATTGATTTAAAATCACAAACGTCACTATGAATTAATTCAAGTGGTTCCGTTTTTCTTTCAACTGATTTGAAAGACGTTTTCGCTAGTTTTGCCTCTACACAAACTCCACATTTGTGCTTCACATCAATTGTGAATTTAGGAATGTGCTCCATGTTAATTAATCTACGTATAGAATTATAATTAACATGTCCTAGTCTACCATGCCACACATTAGAAGACTCAAGCAAGTAAGCAGAAGAGATTTTAATATTATTATTATTAATAATAGTCATTACATTGAGCTTAAAAAGCCCATCACATGTATATCCCTTGCCCACATACATTCCCGATTTGGACAAAACCAGTTTGTCCGACTCAAAAACCATGCGGAAGCCATGCTTGTTCAACAACGAACCGGAAATCAGGTTTTTGCGTATTTCCGGAACAAACAGCACTTGGTTGAGAGTCAGCTCTTTGCCCGAAGTCATCTTCAGGACCACCTTGCCCACGCCTTCAACAGCGGAATGAGCCGAGTTACCCATCCACACTTTCTCACCATTTGATGGCTCAAAAGTCGTGAATAACTCCCGGTTCGAGCAAATGTGCCGGGTTGCACCGGTGTCCACAAACCACTCCTTGGAATTGGATCCAACGAGGTTGACTTCCGTAACCACAGCCGCTAGGATGATGTCTTCATCCTTTTGCCCACCTTGCACCAAATTGACTTGAGAGTCTTTCTTCTTCCGAGGTGTCTTGCAATCCGAGGACTTGTGTCCATTCTTGTTGCAATTGAAGCATTTTCCATTGAACTTCGTCTTGGAAACGCCTCCCTTGGGACCGAGCTTGCTCTTCCCATGCTCCACCACGTTGGCCTTGGCGCCATGAACAATTGGGAGTTTCCCATCGTTCTTCCGGTTATCCTCTTCAATCCGCAGACGGAGGATCAATTGCTCCAAGTTCATTTCCTTTCGCTTATGCTTAAGGTAGTTCTTGAAATCCTTCCAAGCCGGCGGCAATAAATGGATAATTGACGCCACTTGGAAAGATTCACTAACTGTCATTCCTTCATCTCGAATTTCGTTGAAGATCATTTGCATCTCCTCAACTTGACTCAAGACCGTCTTCGAATCCACCATTTTAAAGTCAAGGAATCGACCAACAACAAATTTCTTTGCGCCGGCATCCTCGCTTTTATATTTGTGGTCCAAAGCATTCCATAGCTCCTTAGCCGTAGCTAATTTGCTATACACGTCGTACAAAGCATCATGCAGCCCGTTCAACACGTAGTTTCGGCAAAGGAAGTCAGAATGCTTCCAAGCTTCAACCGCGTTGAAAGATTGCGCATCCACCTCACCCCCGGTTGCTACCGGCGCATCTTCGGTCAAGAATCTAGCAAGACCGAGAGTAGTGAGGTAAAATAGCATCTTTTGCTGCCACCTCTTGAAGTTTAACCCGTTGAATTTCTCGGGTTTCTCCACAGAGTTGCTTGGCACGGTCACCATAGGGATAGCCCTTTGGTTGGCCAAAGCAGATGCACCGCGTTGTGAACTATTGTTCACCGGTGCTCCGCTTTCAGAGTGATTGTCGTTCAGAACATTCTGCCCAACACCAATCTCGTTTTCTTGAGAAGTCATTTTCGTTCTTTAACGTTTTTCCGAAAACACAAAAATTAAGTTCGTTCATCAAAGTGACAAACTACGTTTTTAGATTGTTTACCGCAGTACAACAACCAAGGCAAAATACGTTTTAAGATTGTATCCGTATTATACAAACTCAACAAATACGTTTTAAGATTGTATCCGTATGATACAAGCTCAACAAATACGTTTTAAGATTGTTGGATGTGTTTCGGAAAATAAAGAAAAATAATTAAAATAAATTAATTAAATAAAATGACTGGAGAAAAACAAGAAAGGAGATGAAGCAGAATTAGCCAAAGCTCGTGCTACGCACGATTTCCTTAAAACGTATTTGTTGCCTCCCACGGTGCTAGGAGCATTGCAACAATCGTTTCCCAGGATATGATGACTACGAACTAATGTTTAAGCACACAAACAGGAGTTCCAGCGAACGAGAACCAAGTATGAACACAGAAGGATTTTTGGGAGTAGCTGGAAGAGTTTTTAGCTCAAGAAAACGTGAGGAAAGTGATGTGCGTTGTCAAACAGTGTGTCTGTTGCAAAGCACCTGCCAGCTATTTATAGGAGGATTTGTTGTGTGTTAAATGGGGTGTTAATGGACCTGAACGTTGGACATCAATGACCAGTCCGTTGGGCATTGAATCGTCCATAAACTGTCCATTTAACGCAGCATTAAAAGATAAGAACGTTGGGCATTAATTGTTGTAACGGAAGAAGTGCGCGGCAGAAGACCCCAACAGAACTCCCCTTGGAGGGGTTCTGTCCGAAGCCAACAGAACTCCCCTCAGAGGGTTTCTGTCCGAAGCCAACAGAACTCCCTTGGAGGGTTTCTGTTCGAGGCCTTCTGTCCGGAGCCAACAGAACTCCCTTGGAGGGTTTCTGTTCGAGGCCTTCTGTCCGGAGCCAACAGAACTCCCTTGGAGGGTTTCTGTTCGAGGCCTTCTGCGAAAAAACGTTCGGGAAGAAAACAAAAATTAACCGTATCTCTTGAGAAATAGATTTTTGGACGGCATTCGTGTCCGCAGGTCGCCCGCGCACACGAGTCGCGGATTTTCTTCTCCGTTTCGGGATTTGATCGGCACCCCCCCCCCTGCGCGTAAGAGAGAGCCTTTCCCTTTAGGAATCTTAACTCCTTAAAAGAGGCTTCCCTTTAAAAGGGGGTGAAAATCCCTTGAGTTTTTCGGTGTGGGATAAAACACACTAGAAACTCATCATTTTCCCAGTTTTTCCATTACAACGAGCGAACTTCGAGAATCAATTTCTCATTCACCCGTTATCCGTTTTGAGCGTACCATATATCGAATTGTAGCCCTTAACAAGGACAATCCGAAACCACTTTGACCCGACCCAAATCGGAAGTGGACCCCACTCAAATAATTGCCCCAAAATGACCATTTAATGCAATTTTTAACACATTTTTCCAACAATTGGAACCAAATGGGTATTCAAGAACAAGGCTGATGAAGATGGCAACATTGTAAGGAATAAAGTAAGGCTGGTAGCTAAAGGATATTGTCAAGAAGAAGGAATAGATTTTGATGAGACTTTTGCACCAGTTGCCAGACTTGAAGCCATCAGAATCTTTCTAGCCTATGCTGCCTACAACAACATCAAGGTCTACCAGATGGATGTCAAGAGTGCATTTCTGAATGAAGATCTTGAAGAAGAAGTTTATGTGGAACAACCACCAGGTTTTGTCATTCCAACTCACTCCTCTTGTGTCTACAAGCTTAAAAAGGCCCTCTATGGTCTTAAGCAAGCTCCCAGAGCCTGGTATGACACATTGTCCCTTTTCCTAGTGAACCATGAGTTTACTAAAGGAAAGGTTGACAAAACTCTATTTCAAATCTCTGTTGCTAATCATATTCTGTTAGTACAAATATATGTTGATGATATTATATTTGGTAGTACTAATCCAGAACTGTGCAAGAAATTTTCTCAAGTGATGCAGAGTCAATTTGAAATGAGTATGATGGGAGAACTCAGTTACTTTCTAGGACTTCAAGTCAAACAAGTTCCAGAAGGAATCTTTATCAACCAAGGGAAGTATACCAGAGATCTGATCAAAAAGTTTGGAGTGGAAGACAAATCATCAGTGAAGATTCCCATGAACACCTCAGAAGGAATTGGTCTAGATGATGAAGGAAAGGATGTAGATGCAACAATATATAGAGGAATCATAGGATCTCTGTTGTATCTAACTGCAAGCAGACCAGACATCTCATTCTCTGTTGGAATCTGTGCCAGATACCAATCAAAGCCCAAGGGAGGTAACTTTGAACTAATTGGTTACTCTGACTCAGATTTTGCAGGTTGCAGACTAGACAGAAAGAGCACCTCTGGTCACTGCCAATTGCTAGGAGGAAGGCTTGTTTCCTGGTTTAGCAAGAAGCAGAACTCCATCTCAACAAGTACAGCTGAGGCTGAGTACATTGCAACTGGGAGTTGCTGTGCTCAGCTACTCTGGATGAAGCAACAACTGAAGGACTATGGAATTCAAGCAAAGGAGATCAAGCTGTTGTGTGACAACACCAGTGCCATTGCTATCACTCAAAATCCAGTTCTTCACTCCAGGACAAAGCACATTGAGATCAGACATCACTTCATCAGAGATCATGTTGAGAAGAAGCACATATGCATGGAGCATGTGCCAACAGAAGACCAGCTTGCAGATATCCTGACAAAGCCTCTTCCTGAGGCTAGGTTCAACAAACTGAGAGAGGAATTGGGAATGATGGATGAGATTCCAAGGGAAAGTTGAAAAGGAAGGCCCTCTGTTGCTAAATTCCTGTTAACAGAACACCTATTGCAGAACCCCTTCTGTTAACCCCTTCTGTTCTCTACCCTGGCAGAACACCCCTGGCAACAGAAACCCCCTCTACAGAAAACCTCCTCTTGTCTAAACAGAAGGTTGTGGACTTAGAAAATTCTGAAGAATTTCTGAAAACCGGGTGACCTAGTAAATTATTAAAGGTCTTTTACCCTTTTACCCTTGAAACGGTATCCAACCGCATAATATTTACTGCGCCGCTTTTTACATTTATTGGTACTTTGGAACCGTAAATTATCTCAAACGTCCACTAACCCGTACCCATAAAACCCCCTTTCGCAAACCTAAATCGTTACTGCTCTCAAAACTCTCAAGCTTTTGAACTCTTATCTCTCCAAAACTCTCAAACCGCTAAAAACTCCATGGCTTTCTTGAGCTTCTCCGATCTTTCCAAGGAACAAAAGGCAACTCTACTGAAGAATGTACTGACAGGGATGAGATGCGAACTGGAAGTCCTACCCAGGTTCGCAGAGAAAACAGAGAGAATGACCACCATTGTTGACGGACTATCACAATGTCAACTGAGCAAGGTCATCACTCACGGTTATGAGGCCTACAACAACATTGACACCGTTGAGTTCTATCTCAACGCATCCTTCAAGGATGAAAACATCTCCTCCATCGTCCAAGGAGAAGAAATTTTGATTGATGCTGACGTCATCAACAACATCTTCAATATCCAACTAGAGGAAGGCATGGCCTCTCTACTTGATTTGGAGGATACTGACATCCCTCTGCCTGAATTCAAGAAGAAGTTCTGCAGAAAAGGTGAAGAAGTAGAGAAGGTCAACATCAAGAAGAACCTGCTCAAGAAGGAGTTTGAGCTGCTCATTAACATTTTCCACAAATGTCTATGGTGCAAATATACCTCCACAGATGATGTCACAACTGCAAATGTCAAGGCTCTCTACGCAGTGCATCATGGGGTAAACATCAATTGGGGACAAGTCATGGTGAAGTCCCTGATTGAGGTTATCAAGAAGAAGAACCCAAAGACTAGCCTCTACTCTGGGAAGATAGGGCATGGACTGCTAATCTCAGAAGTGCTCCTCAAACAAGGGGTAACCTTGAGGAAGGCCACAGCCTTGGATCACACCAAGGTAATTTTCCTGTCTGCCTCTCCAAATAGGGAAAAAGCCATCAAGGCAGAACTGAAGAGACAGCTTTAGCTTGAGGCTAAGAGACAACAAGGAGAGAAGGTACAGAAACCCCTCTCTGTAGCCCCTTCTGCTCAAAAGAAGAAGAAGAAGAAGAAGACCAAGAAGGAAAAACAGGTTGATCCTCCAACCATGAAGGCTGGACAGAAGAGGAAGAGGACCACAAAGCTTAAGAAAAAGGTTGCTAAACCTGTGGTCTCTGTGTCTGAGGAAGTGGCAGACACTCAGGGGGAACCAGAGATCCCCACCTCTGCTGCATCTCCTGACCAGAATAGGGTGTCTACTCCAACAGAGCACCCTAGTCCTGTCAAAGATGGGTATCTGTCCTTGCTTGACAGACAGTTTACCCGGGTCCTTGAATGGAGAAGATGGAGAATGGGACCCCTCCACAAGATAATCCAGTATTTTGATCACTATGAGCCAAAAGAAGAAGCCATCCTGAATTGGGTTGGGACTGATGATGTCTCAAAGTGCTTTGCCCTCAACTATCTTCATTCTGTTCTTGAGAAGAAGAAGGCAAGCTACAAGGGAAAGGCTGTTCTCATCTCTTCACCCTCAGAGGAGACAGTCAAACCTTTAGAAGATGGAGAGATAGAAGCCTTTGAAGAATGGCTATTCACCAAAATGGCAACTGACTCTGTGCAACCCAACTTCAACCCAGGAGAGTCCTCTGTACCCAAGACAGAAGGGCAAGCTATGATGGAGCATATCAAAGAGTGGAGGTCTTCTTTGCTCAAGGAGAACATCATTGAGGTAATCTCTCCAACCCCTTCTGTCAATATTCCAACAGAACCCCATATTCCCTCTCCTCCCACCAGCACAGAAACCCCTCCACCAGAACACCCTCAACCCAAATCTCCTGAACAGAAAACCCCCACCCCTCCTCACTCACCCAAAAGGAAAATTGTTTCACCTTGCAGAGCAATTGTTCCCTTCAGAAACCGCTCACCTTCACCCCCACCATCTCCTCCTCAACAAAATGCCTCACCTATTCAATCTTCACCCCAGCACCAGAACCCCTCCTCCCAACAGAAATCCTCTTCATCCTCTGAATCTGAACATCAAACCCCACCTCCAGAATCAACTCCTCCACAACAACCTGCAGAGAAGCTTAAACCTGTATGGTTTCTCAGAGATTCTGACCCTACAACTGTCTCCCCCATCTCTGCATCCCAAGGTAATTCTAGGCACTCTACTGCCCCCAATCCCTCCTTCAGAAAGAAGAAGAAGATAGTCAGAAACACAATACCTATATACTCTTCTTATGAAGACTCATCTGACATGGATGGATTCATGGTCAGCAAGTCATATCAAGCCACATCAAAGAGACAGAAGACCCCTCCTCTGACTCAACTTGAGCATGAACTGCGAGTCCAATCTCTCTCATCTGTCCAAGAACATCACCCCTTGCCTAAGGGAAGAGGTCTAGAGATGCCTCCAGCTGATGGACAACAGAATAACATTCCCTTCAACAAATTTGTTGAATCTGCAGAAGGCTTTGGTGGACAAATCCTCCAAGGCATGGACAAGCTGATAGAGATCAATGATAAACATTATGGGCACCTTGCTCATGTGAATGATAATCTGAATTCAGGAATGCAGTTCATATCTGATTGTTTTGAGAACCTCACATGAACACTCAACAACTTCATAGCCTCCTCCTCTGCCAGAACAGATGCCCTGTCAACAGAAGTGGTAGGCATCCACAACACACTCTCTATCTTTCAACAGACTCTCCTAGATCAAGGACAGGCAATCAACTCTATCTCACAGAACCATGAGGCCATGAAGAAATCTGATGCCAGAACAGAGAGACTACTGACCTCTATTGAGGAAATGTGCAGAGCTCACCAAGAACAAGCTCAAGCTCTCCTATCTACTGACAGAGACAGATATCAGAAATTGGTGCTGCTTGAAGCCAATAACAAGGACATCTTCTCTGCCATTCAGAAGCAGCAAGGTCTCATTGAAGGCCTTACCTCTGTTACTCAGACTCTACCAGAGGCCCTAGAGCAGATAACCTCCACTCAGGCCTCAGAGTTTCAGAAAATAAGCCTGATGATAGAAGATCTGCATGATGCCAAAAAGGGGGAAGAGGACCCTCAACAGACTAGGCCTAGGTCCCACAGAACTCCTACTAGGGCACCCTCCTCTGCTGAGCCCACAGTAGATCCGGCTCCCTACTTTGAAGCTGCCCTACAGAAGAAGAGAGCAGCAGGCATACCTAGACCCCCATCTCCAGTAAAGAAAGGCACCAAGAAGAAGAAAGTGTTTAACTTCACTGAATGGAGATTGGGTGGTTCTCAGAGAATTGACAGAGCTCAATTTGAAGAAATGAAGGCCAAAATGACTCCCACCCAACAACAGCACATCTATTTAGACAAAGATGGTGTTGTGAGAGTCAGGTATGGGGGATCTTTAGAAGAAGCTGAAGAATGGTATAAGAAGAACATTGTCCCAGGCAAGACAATACATGAAGGTGTTTTCAGCTATATGGACTGCAAGCTTTCTCCCATTTGGACATCTTATCAAAGCTCTGGCAACCTTTCCAAGATCAGAGCTGAAATAAATGAAGAACTGCTCAGACTTCAAAGATTGGAGGAAGAAGCTCTACAAGCAGCTAATTTGGAGAATGTGTAAGGATTATTTCTGAAAATCTTATCTAATAAAATCACATCTCTGCCTTCTTACTTTGAAGTGCTTTTCTTCAATTCCTGTCTTTTTGCCTTCTGCTTGTGTTTGCTTATTTCATTTATATTCTGCTATCTGAATGTACTGTACTCTTACTATATTCCTATGCCAAGTTGCCCACCAACATTTTAATGGAAGTTTTAAACTTTGAATTTTTTATGGTGAAGGCACTTCTCTGAAATAGTTAAAGGGTTTTGGCATCATCAAAAAGGGGGAAATTGTAAGGAATATTTGTATTTAGATTTTGATGATGCTAGATTAATTAGGACTTTAGAGTACCCCTATTTAGACTTAATGTATTAGAATTTTCATTTGTAAAGTTCTTAGTGTAATCGACTTGGCAGAATGCCTTCAGAGCAGAAGACCTTCTGAGCAGAAGGGCTCCAAGAGCAGAAGACCCTCTTAAGGCTTTATTGAAACAGAGGACCTTTGGTTCTCTGCTCCAGAACAGAAGACCTCAGGGTCTCTGTTACCCTTTACTCTGACAGAAACCCTTCTGGGTCTCTGTTGGAAATATTCTCAACAGAAGTGCTCCAGACCTCCTCTGTTCAACTCTCAGCTTAAGACACCAGAAGGTCTGACACTTAGAAGAATTCCACAAAACCGGGAAGTCAACTAAAAGATTCCTTCAACGGCTAGGAGTATGAAATGGAAAAGCTACAGTGCGCGCATTAAATGCTCATTTAATGCTCCCCATGCTCCGTAGAGTAATTGCAGATGATTGGCCGCAATGTCAGGAATACTTTATCCCAAAATAGTAACCCGCCAACTTTACCGGGCTCTACTAGTCAAGTCAACTGATCACTCATTTAATGCAGTTGTCCTCCTACTCCTCCAACGGGAAGACAACCTCAGTATAAAAGATACACTACGAAGAACAACCATATAACTTTGCAACTTTTGCTAAACATTGCTACAACTCTTCATACAAGAAATTCAAACGCCAAAAAGCAAAAAGCCTCCTTGAGATTAACACTTCATCATCTTCTACAAGAGAAGGCAGAAGTTGGAAAAAGAATTTTTCCAACTCAAGCAAAGTTCCAAGTGTTCTTCAACTCTTCAAGCTCATCACATACAAATCCTTTGTAACGAAGCTAGTTGGAGGAACCCCTGTTTCACCAGAAACTCTTCTTGCTACAAGAAGGACGTCCAAGTAACTGGAGTAGTGAAGTCGTGATACTTCCAGGAAGCTCAGTGAAAGGACCAGTCTTAAAGGAAGACAGGCAGTGCATCCCAGGAGACATCTAGACTTGAAGAAGACGTGGAGAGCTTCTTAAGTGCTAGGACTAAGGCATTGTAAACGGAAGTTTTTACAGCTTAGTGGAACAGTGGACTAGAGGAACAAGTTGTTCCTTGAACCACTATAAAAATCCCTGGTGTCATTTACTTACTGCTTTAATATTTGCACTTAGATAGAACTGTCTAACTCCTCAGACTTGGTATCTGTGTTCAGCAGAACTTGTCCTACGAGTTAACAGAAGGTCTACTGCCTTTGCTTCTCTGAGGCTAAATCAACAGAACTCCCTACTAGAACCCCATCCGCTGCCAGTCTGTTCTGTCAACAGAACAGGCTATTCTGTAAAATCTGGTACTTAGTTTAAAAAGCTAAAAACCAATACAGTCTATTCCCCCCCCCCCCCTCTAGACTGTATCCAGTACAACCGGGACCAACAAACTTTGATGAAGGACGAATAGTCAAAAGTGAACTATAAACCTGATTTCTGCTTGCAGATGTCGCTTGGTGTATTGGCGGTCTGCGAATAACACCTAATACTAATATCGGAGTAGAATTGTTTGGAGGCCCCCTTGGTAGTTGAGGCCCAAGGCAGTTGCCTGGCCCAACTGCCCTCAAAGCCGCCCCTGCCACTGAATTTAAGGCGCGCTTTGAGGCGTAACATGTCCTTATTAAAATTGTTGATCTTTTTGTAGTCAACTAAGCGGATTTCATTCCACTGCACTGTCAGTACGGGGAGCAATGTGTCATGTATGTTCCCAAAATGACCTTTTAGTGCGTCCCATAGTTCTTTGAGGGTTTTCAATTGTAAATATTCCTAGTGTAAGCTTGGGTCAATATGGCGTCTAAGGAACATTAACGCAGCAACCTTTATTTTTTTAGACGGTGCAGTCTTTTAAATTTTCGAGATCGGCAAGCGTAGCGGAATAGTCTTTAGCCACAAAAGTGGTTTCTATGTCAGAAACCCAGCGATGGTACTCAAGTCCTTCTGAGTCCAAGATGTCAAACTCGAGTCGAGTTGGATCAATCATCTTAAAATATAAAATTGTATGAGTGTTATATACTTCCATTTATCGCTAAAAAAATGAAAAAATGTGATTCTCTGTGTGAAAATTCTTTATCACATAAAAATATGATATGGGGTATGTCTCTTTGTAGACAATATTTTATAATGCATCGAAGAGAGGAGATGTATATTCATCTCATTAAAATCATAAAGATTTTTTATATGATGTTATATGGTGTGTTTAATACAGAAAGTATTAATATTAGTCTAATGAGTGGGTTAGGCATATCTCATAATTTTTTGTTTTGAAGAAAAAATGAATTTAATAATTCTTTTAGTAATATTATATATATTTTCGAATTATATAAATAATAGTTTGCCATATATTTTAATTATCAAAAAATGGATCTAAAAACGAATTTAATTATCGATCTTTTTAGGGAAATTATTTCGAATAAATGGAGTTATATTTCGAATTATTTTTTTGTTTTTTTTGTAAGAACGAATTTAATAATATATTAGTAATGTAATATGCATATATTTTTACAAAAATATTTCACCGTATATGTTGATTACCGGAAAAAAATTATAGTTTTGTTTTCGTTTTTTTAATTAACTTCGGGAATGAGATTGAATTTTCTAAAAGTTGCAAATATATAAATTTTCTTTATGTTTGGTTAAAAAAATTATTGGTGTTATCGCATGGTATATTTGTAAAAAAAATGTAGAAAAAAAATGTCATTGCAATTACAAAGATAATGGTAATGGGAAAATTATTTGTATAAGGATTTTCTTTGTATTACGATAATGAGGGGGGGGGGGGGGGGGGGGGGTTTAATTTTCGAAAAAATAAACTCTTTTTTTGGTATTAATTAATTTAGGTAAGGGAAAAAAAAGTATCTTAATGTATCGAATATATGTTATTTTACTCTGATAATAAATTAGTAGAGATTGCTAGAGTAATTGTAATGCATGCATACAACAACAACAACAAGTCAACAACAACATCCAAGCTTTAATCCCAAAAGAATTTGGGGTCGGTTAACATGAATCGATCAATGATATCGATGCCACAATTGTAATGCATGCATATGACATGTATATTACAAGAAACGTAGTGATCTAAAAAAATTGCCAAATATATATCTAGAATTATTTATATGACAATAAATGGATTTTTGATTTCTAATTTTAGGTTATTTACATGACAAATAAGAATATGACTGCATGATTGTATCCCAACTATATGTATATGACATATAGAATTACAGAAATAGAAACATGTCAGTGTATTCTAAAAAAATGTTTTAAAAATAGGACTACATGAATTCCAACTATATGAGTATAACATATAGATTTACGAAAAATTAGACATGTATTGTGCCCTAGAGATAATTTATGAGCATAAAATATAGTAATTGTTAGTACCCAATTTTGATAAAGATTTTGATGATGCCACTATACATAACGCGTGTACATTGTGTCTCAAGTTTATTTGAATTATGTGACAAAATTAATGTACAATTTTTGTGACTAATAAAATGTTACCGGAAAAAGTAAAAATGAAATAAGGTAATTTTATTTACCTTAATAGGATATTTATATCCTACCGGTATATTTTATTAGACCACAGCAATTAAACTGTCACTAAACAAGACCAAGTTCGTAAATAAATATACAATGAATGTATATGATTGGAGATAAAAACTTGACCGGTATTAAATACCAAATCAAGTACAGGGGTCTACAGCGAAGATGCTTCAGCGGCTGGATAATGCAAGACAAAGAGATCAGCCGCAATAAATGCTCCAGCACAAAAAGACGAATGTACAATTCGTCCTCGCCAGAAGATCAACGGCAGAAATCAATTTATCCTAACCAACGGATAAGATTGAACAGCCAAAAAGCCTATAAATAGAGGCTGAAATGAAAGTTTCTAATCAAGCATTTAAGCATCCAAAGAGAGAATTTCTATCAAGAGCATTTACGAAAGATCTAGCAAAAGAGAAAGGGCTATTCTAAAACTTTACTCTCTGCTTGGACTTATGCTTCACTAAACTTCCAGTTTATCAAATTTTCATTGTCATATTATAGAAGTTTAGTTCCTAGTTGGAGGTTAGAACTTTCTTGAAACAAATCACATATTATTGTAAACACTTAGGAGAACAGTTGTTCGGATCCTACAGTGTAAGTAGATAGATAGAGTATCTTTTGATCCCCACTAGGTCATTAGAGAAAAGTCTAAGGACTGAGTAACTTTGAGTGGTGCTATACTCACTGTGAAAAACCTTCAATCTAGGCCTAAGTGTTGTAAAGGCTAGATTGGCACTAAGTGTATTGGGCTTAATACTTTAGTGAAATCCATCTGAAAGAGGGTGGGACTGGACGTAGGAGGATTACACCACCTCTGAACCAGGATATACTGTGTGTTGATTTACATTCAGTAAACAAAGCACACACTTAGCACTTCTCACAAAAAGGATTGAAGTTTGCCAGCAGAATCTTAAGCAGTTGTCTTAACTGACCCAACTGCTTATCCTACTGCTTAATTACTTGCTTTCTTTGAGACCATTTTCACACCTGAGACGCACCTCACCATCTCTAAAAGGTCTGCTCTATCATCTCCCAGAAATTCACTTTCTAAGTATAGCAGGTGCCTCAGCAGTTCCCTGAGACCACCCAACTGTTGAGCCCTCTGCTCACATAAAAGTCACTTCCTGTGACCGTCTCAGTTTCATCAGCCTGCCATAAATATCATTGTCAAAAAGTACGTTCAATTTCTGAAAGTCAGATCAAAATCTGAGCAGTTGCCTCAGCAGTTCCCTGCTACCTAGCTAACTGCCAAGTCAACTGTTAGCCATCTAAGTCCAATCTTCTCCAGATCAGAAAGTGATTAAAACACTCACTATATAAAGGGTAAAGACTTCCGCTGTGCATCTATTAATCTCTCAAAAGATTATAGATCAATTCCTTTAGAGGGAAATCTCTGTAAAAGACGAAAAGATTTAAAAGTCTATTCACCCCCCCGCCCCCCCCTCTCTAGACTTTTACCCTATCCGGGACCATCAAGTGGTATCAGAGAGGAGTGTTCCTAGAGTTAGTTCCTGCCTAATTTGAACTAAAGATCCAAAGTCACTTCCCTCTCCCAAACACTTTCTAAACGATGGACAGTCAACTAGCCAAAAACCTCTTATTCAACCTAAACAAATTTGATGATTGGAGAATCAGGATGAAGGCACAACTAAGTGCCTTACATGATGAAATGCTGGAAGTAATCACTACCGGACCTATCAGGATAATAAAGGTCAGCACATCCAAAACTGATGACCAGGAGGATGTGTACATTCCCAAGCCCAAACTGGAATGGACAACCGAGGACAGAAAGAGAAACAACCTTGATAATATTGCCAAAGACATTATTTTTAAATCTGTTGATGAATCCATATTTCCCAGAATCAGGAAATGTGAAACAGCAAAGGACGTTTGGGATGAGCTCACAAAAATTGGAGCTGGTGACGAACAGGAGAAGGACAACAAACTTACCACGGCCCTCAAGAAATTTGAGGACTTCAAGATGCTGCCAAATGAGTCCATCCAAGAGATGGAAACTAGGTTCCTAAAGATCACAGCAGAGGTCTCAGACCTAGGGAAAGATCTACCTCAAAAAGAGATTTCCCTTAAAGTCTTGAGAGGCATGCCCTCTAAATGGGACATGAAGGTGACTGCTATGAGAGATAGCAGAGATCTAAGAATCCTATCAACTGATAAGCTCTTCAGTGATCTCAAAGCCTATGAATTTGAGATGAAGGAAATTAAAGAAGAAAAGGAAGATGAATCCAAGACACTAGCTCTAGTGTCTGAGCCTGGCCCTTCAAGATCCAGTGAGAAATCCCTCAACAACCTCCTTACCGACGACCAGTTTGCCATGTTTGTAAGGAAATTTAAAAGGTTCATGAAGAAGGAGGGAACTGCTCCAAAAAGACCATACAATCTGCCACCCAGGAAACAAGGGAGACCTCAAACCAGCGAGGAAACTATTCTATGCTACAACTGTAGACAACCAGGACATTACAAGAGTGAGTGTCCTCTGCCCTTAGCCCAGAAACTTCAAGGGCAGCAGGGGACTGGTTACAAAGCTGGTTACAAGAAGGACTTCAAAGGCAAACGACAAGCCTTTGTTAGTGAAAAGAAAAAGGAGGAAACCCAATCTGAAGATGAAAGCAGCTCAAGTGATGAAAGCTCTTCATCTGAGAGCTCAGAGGAAGCACTTCTATGCCTGGGATCCTGGCAAGTGGGTGAAAATGACAGCAGTTGTCTCACTGCAGAGAGTAGCAGGTGGCTCAGTGAATCTTCCGCCAGTTTAAGTGAAAATAATGCAAGCAGCTCCCATAAATGCTTAATGGCCAAGGGCCACTACAACGATGTCGAGGTAACATCCTGCTCCTCCTATAGCTCTAATGATTCTGGACCAAACAACATAACACTGGAATCTTTATTACAAGATTTCCAGAAAGTCCAGAATCACCATGTTCTCTTAAATGCTGAAAATGATAGACTGAAACAAGACATTAAGGCAATTCATTCTAAATTACTAGATGCCTTAAGGAAAAATGATGTCTTAGAAAAGGAGAACAAAGAGCTGAGAAACTCCAGCACAAATAGTAAAAACTATCACCCTACTGCTGGAGTTACTCCAAATAGGAAGAAAAGAGGTCTTGGTTACTCATCCCCCACCAGACTCACTCAAAACAGTGCATCTACAAGTAATACCTCATACACAAGAAAGCTCACTTACCAAAAACCTCATCCCCAAAATGTTCCCAAAAGAAGGAACCAACCTGCTCCCAAATCAAAATCCAAACACATGTATAAATCAACATCTCCTCACCATCTAGACCCAAGAACCTGTTGGCAACCAATCAACAAGACCAACCACAACAAAAATTCCAAGCAGACTCCTCAAATAAATAATCCATTTCCCACCTCAAGGAGGAAAAGAATTAACAAGTATATAGACATCCCTTTTGATTACAACACCTCAAATGGCTAAGATTGGTATGCAAGACTGCAAACCAATCGATACCCCAGTTTCTAAGGGAGACAAGTTTAGTCTCATGCAGTGCCTTAAGAATGGTTTTGTATCTAAAGAAATGAGGAACATTCCTTATGCTTCGGCTGTAGGAAGTTTGATGTATTCTCAGGTTTGTACAAGACCTGATTTGGCATACATTGTTGGGATGTTAGGCAGATATTTGAGCAAACCGGGAATGGACCATTGGAAAGCAGCCAAAAGGGTCATGCGGTATTTACAGAGAACAAAGGAATATATGCTCACATATCAGAGATCGGATCAGCTTGAGATTATTGCGTATACCGACTCTGATTTTCTAGATGTCAAGATAGCTTAAGATCCACTTCAGGCTACATCTATATTCTAGATGGAGGAGCTATCTCCTGGAGGAGTATCAAGCAGACTCTTACAGCTACTTCCACCATGGAAGCAGATTTTATAGCATGTTATGAGGCATCTGTTAGTATATATGTCCTAGCGACAATCACTTTTAGAGATATATGTACTTGATCACATTCAGTTTTATATATTTGATATATACGACATTACACATTGATGATTAAGTATTTCGATTGTCAATATCTTTTTCATAATTGTGTTCCCTTGGACATATGTTGTCAATAAGTAAGTGGGAGCTTATATGATATAACATAAGGTCAAGAATGAGATATTGATGATATGCGATAAGATTGGTATGTGGACTGAATCATACTTTTAGAAAGTATAGTTGATCTCACAACTATGAGTTCCTGTAATTCATGATGGTCACATAGATATTTTAGAGAATATTGGCATACCCGCCGAGAAACCATTTGATAAGTTCTATTCATGTGTCTATGGGATTATCGGCGTATAGAGTAGTGTAATAATCCTCCGACTTGAGGTCAATACGTACTACATGTGCGGAGTGATGTACTTTGACCATGACCAACGCTTGCACTCCAATCGGGGTAGATACGGCATGTGTTGGGTGCATCACGAAGCACATGGAGTAGTAGTTGAGCCAAGAAAGAATCCATTCCTCATAATAGATTAAGAGAGAACATTCTACTTCTCATATCTAGATGGATCATAAAGTCACTCATCAATGCAAAGATATATTCATTTTGGATATCAAATATGATCATTATGGATCAGCTAGAAAGATTGAGAGATAGAGACTAAGTTATTGGAATAGACACAATATCAAGTTCTAGACTTAGTTGAATGTTCGTTGAATGAAAGGACCGTATCACTATGAGCTCTATATTACAGGGAGTTTGATTATTCCTCGCAAACGTCCTTATATATTAAGATTGTCTGGTAAATAGTCTAGGGATTCTGCTAAGATCTTAATTTGATTAGTGCTTAATTTATAAGGCCCTATGGGTCACACAACAAGTGATTATACCTTTCGATTGAATTGTTAGAAGGAGTTAAATATTATTAATTGGATTAAACAATATTTAATTCGTAATAATGAAAATGGATTAAATATTAATTAGATTCATATATTTAATTCATTGAGTTGAAGGAGAGTTCTATTTTATAGGATTAGTTAAGTGTGATAAATTAGATTTATTATACTTACTTAAGATGTATTTTTAATTAATTAAAGTTGACACTTTTCTTTATAATTTAGAATTGAAAGAAAAGAGAAAATAAAATAAATAATAATAGAGTAAAGTGGCGTAGGTGCAGCCAACTTTTAGTCATATTATTAGATTGTTTTATTTTATTTAATTAATTAATTTAAATGAGTAATAAGGATTATTGATCCTAGTAGGACTAGAACTCATTAATGAGAAAGACTTTCATTGTGATTAGGAAACTAGTTTAGAACTAGTATAAATACATCCTCCTCCTTCATAATTTATGGACCAGTTTTCAGATTCAGTATTACCAGTTTATTTCTCTGCGAAGAGATTTCCTAGTCTTTCTCTTAGAGAGATCTAACCGTTATTTCGGAAAGGAGAAATCACGTGGATACCTAAGGTCAAGGATTATCACCGCTAGGCTGGAAGATCTGTAAGTTCTAACTCAGTCCTTTTATCACTGTTATATTCGTTGTTTTGTCGTAATCAGGGAAGATCTGTTTGGGAAAATTTTAAACTTCTGCTGTTGTACTTTCGAGGTAAGTTACATCAATTTCCTAACAGCATCCAATCAGGCATTATGGCTGCGAGATTTTATTAGTGGACTCCGCAGAGTGGACAACATTGAAAGACCACTTATAATATTGTGTGACAATAGGTCAGCAGTCCTTTATGCTAAGAACAACAGTAGTTTGACCAAGGCAAAACACACTGAGGTCAAACTAAAGCTGTTAGAGAACAAGTACAAGAAGGAAAGTTGTCTATAGAACACATTAGCACAAACTCCATGATTGCGGATCCACTCACCAAAGGATTACCACCTAAAGTGTTTCATGAGCATGTTGCTCAAATGCGTGTCAAATCAGTTGAGGATTATGAGTTTTAGTGGGATTTTGTAATGTTTCTATGTATTTGGTTATTTCAAATTTATAAAGGTTATTTTCTGCAGAAATAAAGTTTAAATTTTTATATACTCTTACAGTTATATAATTGATCTCAAGGTGGACCAGTTGGAAATAGACATTCTACTCCAGACCACACTTCATGTTATTTCCATGCTACACACCTATACTTGATCCATGTCGTTTATTATATTAATATATGTAATCATTGATGGGTCTAGTTATACGAATATGGCAAAGACCTCTTTGGTCCTATGTTAATATAATTGATGGACCGGATTGATTACAGATGACTACAGTTTGATAGCAAAATTTTGAAGCTCCTAAAGTAAACATACCATGCTAAGGATTGTGTATACATGTGTATGTCGTCCAAGTGGGAGATTGTTAGATTATTGGACTCATACTACATGTAATACTCACAGTATATTATTTATCAGGTTTAATTGTATGTTATATGTTATCTTATATTTAGGCCCAAATATTAGTGGTCCTATGGATATTATTTTAAGTGGGCTAATATATTATCTAATAAGGTATAGGGCCCAAATGTGTAGAGAGCCATGGGCTTAACCTAACTAATGATGGGCTTATTAGGGTTAAGCATTCTCTATAAATAGAGAGGTTATGGTCCCTAGTTAATCATGTCATTTCGTCTTTCTGCATCCCATCGTTAGAGAGATAATTCCCGAGGGTGTGTATCAACTAGAAGACGCAAACCCTAGCCTCTGTCTCAGCTCACGGATCTCTAAAGGTCATCTCCAATGGAGTCAGGTACGCTTCCGCTCAATTATTTCTCTAGATAATTCCAATATGAAGATTAAAGTATTGTCGGATTTATTCCAACACTTGCAACTCTCATCGTCCCACATATTTATCGGCTAGGCTCTCCACCGGTTCCCATTCGTTCTCGCGTTCTTCCCTGTGCATCTTCGCAGCCTCGCCCTCCATCCTTCATGCTACCACAAACGTCGAAGTAGGCCAAGTTAGCGCTTGGATGCTGCGATAAAGAAAAAGCCTCACGGTTACGGCACACTCAAACCCTAAGTGAAGGGAAAGACCGCTCTTCTCTCTTTTAGCTATTACGACAATACATAACTTAAATAAATATATATAGTGAATACAAATATGATTTTTTATATGAAAAAATTGAAACTAATAATCCCAATTATTACTAGTCAGCTAATAATAACTTCAACTATTGATTACTTTTATCTAGTCCCAGCTTTATGGATCGTCTGCGGTCTGCCAATAATGGTCAATGACCGGTACCTTCTATATAGGTCAGTTTTAAATAGAATCCGCCCTGGGGTGGGCACAACGCCGGTTCTGGGGGAGGCAAGAGGGGCAACGCCCTAAGCCCGAAAAGAAGAAGAAGAAGAAGAAGAAGAAGAAGAAGAAATAGGCACAAATGTTTTTTATATATATATAGTGTGGGTAGGCCTAAAATTATTGTTCAATTAATTAGGTCTAATGATTAATTTTGTTGGCAATATGAAATATTAAACATAAATAAAGAGTCTTAAACAGAGACAAATTTAAAACAGAATATTTTCATTAATTTTTAGCATGATTGGTTGTAGTTTTTAAAAGCAATACAATTGTGGCTGCATAAATAAAAGACACGTCTCTCCAGTCCTCACATATTTTTAGCTTTTAAGGTTTTTTATTCAATTTAATTAACAAATTTATATAATTATTTTAGAGCCCGTTTCTCTCATATTTCACCCTAATTCTTCATTTGTTTCCAAATTTCAATAAGCTATATCTGAGTTCGTAATAGTAGTTTTAGAGGACGTCAAATTTGCAATCTTCTTGCGCATGTTTTCTTGGCAGGCAAACATTTTGTCTCTTTGAAAAACTTTATTCTTTCTAGACTTCAAACTTTAGACTCTCATCATCAATCAATAAATCAATCTCTAGTTATGAATGAATTCAATGTGTGGTAATATTTCTTTTCTTTTATCATTTCAAAACAAAGTTTATTGTCATTATATGTGGCAATTTTATTGTTTGTCATATTTATTAGTGGAAAGAAGGTTGCCTATGAAGCAACGGTTTTTAAGTAATGATTTTTCTTTTTATATGACACTCGTGTTGTTACTTTTACCCAAATATATAACTTATATAATAATAAAGTGATTCTCATCTTTATTTTATGAACTTCATTGCCCAAAATGGTTTACTGTTTGTCATGGATATACGCCCAAAATAACGTACCGCCCATAGGCCCAAAAATGGACAAGACCGGCTCTGGGTGGGCATGGTCCGGGATGGTCCAATATTTAGCAGAACAAGCACCCGTACCATGACTATTGGAACGGTATGGTTCGGTTTGGTCTTAAACCTAAACTCGTTTGGTACGATTCCCTTTTAAAAAGGAACTGTGCCATGTCATATGAATACAAACAATGCTACTTTTTTCAATTGTTTAAAGTGAAGTTAAAGTTTAGTTATCCTCCGAAATTCCACACAAAACATTAATTGAAATGTCGATACATTTACATAATTTGATATGTACTTTGAGATGTACAAAATATAAATCCCAAAACATAAATCCACAAAAATGGTATACATGTACGTGTAAACCATACTTCGGTATGTTTCGGTCCGGTACTGGCCGGTTCTCATTTTATGAGAACCGGTCATGACATGGTTTGGAACCGGCATGGTCAGGTTCGGGATACAAATTTTAAAATCTATTTCAAATCTTGTTTTTCAGATCGGTACCACACGGTCCGGTTCGGTATCATGTCGGTTCGGTATTTTTGCGCACCCCTAATAGAAACTAAACGCATTCTATAAATAATCTGAACTATGATCGTTCTTTTTTCAATAATCTCAACTATCAACTCTTTTTTATAAAAAGTACATAATTTTATTTGAATCTTGAATTTTATAAATGAAAGTTTAACTAAGTATAAAAGCGTATTGCGCTTTAGAAATAAAAATGTTACTTTTTTCTATTTTTCCATTTTAGTATTTTGAAAATCAGTATTTGTATTTCTATCTTTTTCACCTTCTTAATTTTGAAAATCAAGGTTTTCATTTTTTTATTTGAATTTTTTATTTCCTTTAAGTTGTTGTATTAACCTTTTTACTCTCCTTTTTTATACATTTTATATTCGTTATATATTTATAAGAGAAAAGTACAGAAAAGGTACTTGTGGAGTTGTGGTTGAACCCGTTTTCAGATAGGGTCATGTGTTTCATTGTTTACCAAAGTGGTTCATGTGTTTGAATTCCGTTATCACAAGAGGGTCACACCGTTAAAAACGTTTGAAATAGACCGTTAAAAGTAACTTCGATTTTCAAAAGTGCCCGAAAATTTAAAAGAAAATACCGGAAGGTGCGCCTCAATTAGAGGCCCGCTAAACCATCTTTCCTTTTTTTTCAGCCACCCTTCGATTTTCATAATTCCGTTATTCTGTATTAATCGATAGTTGGGATTATTATGAGCGGACAGTCAATAGTTGGGATTATTATTATTATCAAATTTCCCCTTTTATATTAACTTAATGATTTTAGTAATAATTTTAGTGCTTGGTCATATTCAATTTTAAATTATAGCGATTGCGGGATATTCTCACAATAACTTTATGATGTTATATTAATTAGATTGATTTTTTATATAGGTTGAACTGATATATGTCTATTTTATGTCTAGTCTCATCTATTTATGTGTGTGTGGTCTAAGACCAAATTCAATCCAACTAAAAACATCATTAATTACTTTCATTTTTATCCATAAGTTATATTTTACCAAAGGCTAGGGCCTTTGGTAAGACAAAATAGATCTATTTGTTGTTTATTTTTTCTACTTAGTCCTATCTAAATAATGATAGATGTCTATCTCATTATGTTTAAGGCCGTTTATTTTGTATTGTATAATGAATAAATCGCATGAATTGAGATAAACATTATATTTAAATTAAAGTTGTAATTGTTCTATAATTTTTTCATGAGGGAGTTTGGTAATAGTTTGAATCGCTATTGTTTGGTAAAATAAGTGATTTTTGTGTAACAGAAAAATTGAAAAGCAGTTTAAGGGAGTGTTTGCGGTTTCACATTTCGGTTTCATCAAGTGCACATTTCAATTTCACCTAATGTACAATTCAGCTTCACATTTCAATTTCAATTTCATTTCAAATTTTTTGCTAAAAGGGGGAAGAGGAGATAATTTTGGGACGGACGAAAAAGGAAAGTTTGAAGATAATTTAGGGACGGAGGGAGTAAGAATCTGACAAACCTATTCATCAATTAACATTTAGATTGCCTATTACAAAATATAGGCAGATTTAATCTGTTTATTTTAGAATCAACATGCCTTTGATAGTATAGAAAAGCAAAGAGTGAGGCTTTAAAGTAAAGATGATGAAGATCATACCTTATAGTTTGACCATAGAAACTTGGTTTTAAAAGGCACGAGGCGCCTTGAGGCGATTTCTTGATTTACCCGAGGTTTTAACTTATATCTGTTATCTGTCCATGTTTGGCACCAGCTCAAGTTTTGTAAATTTCCAACAACAACAAAAACTGATTTCAAACCTTGAAGCATTTGAGAGGTTTGATTGGTTCTCAAATCTAGCAAAAACAGGATTATAATAAAACCAAATTTAATTTCTTATAAGTTATAACCATATTATTAACAACTAAATGGCACTGAAAACAATACTAACTAGGTACTACTCTCCGTTACCAAGTTACTACACTAATGAAGTGATTGTTCTCAAAATTCTTATAGGCAATATTGTCTTTCTTATTCTTTTCAAACGTCGGGTGCAAATGCAAAATTATATTTCGTACGGATACACAAGCAATTGAACCTTTACTCTTCTAGAGTACACGAAATAATCTGAATGTTAATTGAAAAGATCTGTTAGCAAGAGCAGGGAACGTTGTCATTAATGTGTAAGCCTTACAAGGTCTTCGTTGATGATGAAACAGTCGAGCTCATCGTCCCAGCCGTCGTGCAAGTTCTTCACTTTGACTAGATCGCCGATGTTTATGTGGCGAAGCTGAGCGGCGTCCGCGAGGGCAGACGCCGTCGTCGTCTTCCCCGTACCTGGAGTTCCCGTCATTAGTATATTTGGCCTCTGTCGGCAGCTGCTGCTGGTATTTTGAGCCATAATTGCTCCAATTGTACGCCTCGAAGATGTGTGATATGAACGCCCTAAGCCCGGCAACTAGCATGTACAAAAGTGTGTATAAGAGTGTACAAACATCATTTTTGTAATCTACAATTTTGATAGATTATTTTGGTCGATGTTGTCTGCTGTTGATAGAGTAGGTTTCACTTTGGATATACTAGAATCTCACTCATGCGATGCACGGATAAGTAATTTAAAAATGAGTATAATTAACATAGTTTTAAGATACCTTATAAAAATTTAAGCACGTGATATGTTTAATTTAGAGAATATAACCATGTTCAGTTTAGAAACCGTTTGATAATATTAAAATGGGCTGAATCCGCTGATTATGATGAAATTTATGAAATTACAATTGTAATGACTGCATTAATATAAAAAAATTACAGAAGTGTGCCAAAATGATAGATCTGAACAAATGTTTATAACTTTATATGAGTGGCAAAAAAATTGCAAATTTAGTAAATTAGAATTTTAAGTAAAACAACTTTTGGACTTCATAGTACTATAATAAGATAAATCATTTTTCAAAGAAAAACTCATTTTTAATATTTAAACATATATTCTGAATGTATTCATGTAACCTGCACTTTAATGCACTTTAATTTTTTAAGTCAAACTCAGAACTTGAATGTATGGATTGGTGTCTTTATAGCCTGGGTATGATGCAGCTCAAAAATGTAAACCAACACAAACAAATATATCAATTGACAGTTGAGCATGATGAAACAAATAAAGAGCATACAAGCAAGAGTCTAGAGAGCAACAAACTCATCCTCAGATGTAGAGCTCAACATTCTATTAATGTTAAACACGAGTGACATTATAATGAGCTACAAACTCATCCCCAGATATATAATAAACCCCAGTACCCCACCACAAATAAAATAGATGTAGGATTTTTAAATAAGAAAGTTATACCGTTTATTACTTGAAGCATAGGTAATCAGTTCAATGTTCAAACCCATATAAGCATGCCAATTAATCATATATACAAACTAAATCATGTTATATTGAGCATATAGAACATGTAATAAACTGAATCATGCCAATTATATTGAGCATATAGAACATGTAATAAAACTTGTACACAACAAATAAAGGCATGCCAAAAAAACGTGTGTTTCTCATATTAATTGATAACATGCATACAGAAAACAAGTATTTCGAAAACTAAATTATATTTCCATTCAAAAATTAAAGCAATATTATAAACTAAATGAAATTATATTTCGAAATCATATTACTCCACATGCATCAATTTGAGATACTAACTAAAATCAAATGACACATACATAAATCAATTTGAGCATATTAACCAAATCATATTAAACAATTTGAGAATACTGGGAACACACTTACCGTAACATGCATTTTTAAAATAAAAATCAAATACTACAAATAAGAATTAAAGGTAAATCAAAATTAGAATACATAACCTTTATGAAAAAAGGAGGAGGCCGACAGTGGCAGCAGCAGACGGTGGCGACTAACGGCGGCGGCGAACGGCTGCAGCGAACGGCGGCAGCGAACGGCGGCAGCGAACGGCGGCAGCGAACGGCGGCAGCGAACGGCGGCAGAGAACGGCGGCAGTGAACGGTTGAAGGCAGAGTTGGAGTTGAGACCGGTGGAGTGTAGAGGGAGATATGAAGGATTTAGGGTTTTGGCCTGAAAGGAATGCGGAATGAAAAATAGCTAAGTGTTGATTTTATATGAAGGTGTAGTCACGGACCTAGTCACGGATAGTCCGTGCCTAGCCGTCGTAAATTACGAAGTCAGACGCGCGGCAGACGAGGTGTCAGGGCCGCCTTTGACCGCCCTAGTCACGGACGGTCCGTGACTAGGTCCGTGACTAATTCAAAAAAATTTATATTAGTCACGGACCTAGTCACGGATCTGTACGATTTTTGAATTATTCACGGATCTAGTCACGGACGATCCGTGACTAAATACGACAGTGGAATAAATTCCACTTTATTATATTCGAGTTTAATTTTGAATATAAATAGATGATTCCCGGTCCAATGTTTGTGAAAAAATGGCTAATCGAGAACCAATTGACTGGGATTCGATGTGCAGAACTATGAAACGACTCAAGCTAATTACACAGCTTATGGAGCCGAAATCCTTTGAAGCATACCAGAGAATCACGGAGTTGATGGCTAGACCCCTTGAAAGTTTTGGCGATTATAAAGATGAGGAATCCGACTCACTCGACAAGTCAAAAGCAAACAACTTGTGTCGGATGCTTCAACGTGCAGAAGAATGTTCGGAGTATATGTATCCGATCAACGAAGAAGCTGAAAGGAAAATTCACGAGCTGTTGGCTAGGCCTCTTGAAAGTTTTGATATTGATGAATAATTTTGTATTTGTTTGTTTGGTTATTATGATAAATAAATGATTAATGTTTCGTTAGTTGATTGTGATAAAAAAATTGTGCGTTTCGTACTTATCTTTTACGGAGTAATAATGATGAAGAAATATTGTTGGACTACAATAATAATGAAGAAAAGAGTACAAATATTCGAAATCAAAAAAATTGTAATACAACAATACAATTAGTCACTATCAGAGTCATTATTTTCTACATATACAACATCTTCTTCTGTATCAGAACCGTCTATCCATTCTCCTTCTTCCTAATAATAAGCATTTTGTTGTTCTTCATGCATTTCAACAATTTCGCGCTCAGATGGAATTGTTAGGTCCGGAAGGTGCGTTTCTGGCATGACTTCAACACTTTCCCCATTTGGATCACTTAGCTGAATGTGCTGGTTGACCATCTCAACAATCGGTGGAGGTTGGAAAAAATGTTGCTGAAAAGCATCTAAATCAACGTCCTTGTGTTGAGTTTGTGATACAATTTTGCTCGGACGGACAGTACATGCACACACCCAAGGATTCTGTGTCCGCCTGGTTGAAGGATATTCTGTATAATAAATCTGGGCTGCTTGTTGAGCAAGTATAAAAGGCTCATTTTTCGTATACACGCGAGAGTGATTGACGTCAATCATATTATACTTTTTGAAAATTATGCATATACAAATCAAGTGTTCATCTAAGGTTTCCTATTCTTTTGTATTCTTTTTGGCAAAATTCTTTTGATAAGACAGGTATCATTGGTGAAAGATTCTGGAAAAGTGTGTTTCACTATTACAAAATCTATGGCAACAACAAAGGGTAAATCTGAAATGTAAAACTAAGAATACTATATAGCTATTCATGACGCAAAATAACTTTTAGAAACTAAGAATATGATGTACCTATAAATCTGAAAGGCAAAATAACTACTCCCTCCGTCCCTAATCTTTCTCCCTTTTCGGCTGGGCACATTTATTAAGATACTGGGATTTGTGTGGTGGAGAGTTGTGCAGAGGAGAGAGAAATATGTAAGAATGTGTAAAAATGGTTGTGAACCACAAATTTTTTGCTAAAAGGGGGAAGAGGAGATAATTTTGGGACGGACGAAAAAGGAAAGTTTGAAGATAATTTAGGGACGGAGGGAGTAAGAATCTGACAAACCTATTCATCAATTAACATTTAGATTGCCTATTACAAAATATAGGCAGATTTAATCTGTTTATTTTAGAATCAACATGCCTTTGATAGTATAGAAAAGCAAAGAGTGAGGCTTTAAAGTAAAGATGATGAAGATCATACCTTATAGTTTGACCATAGAAACTTGGTTTTAAAAGGCACGAGGCGCCTTGAGGCGATTTCTTGATTTACCCGAGGCGCGAGGCGGTGAGGCGCGCGCCTCACGGATCTCAACCACATTTCTTTGGTTAAATATATTTTTAGTACTTTTACATAAAGCACTCTTCTCAAAAATACTTCAAACTATTAAACAATCTTAATAAACATCATATTTTGATTCATGTCATGTGATGTGACTAAGTGATACTGTTGGCCGTCACGCGCCTACCACATCACCCTCCTCCTTTATCCTGGCTTGGGAGTTGAGACAGGCATGATACAAAAAAAAAATGATCTCGTGACGGAGTTTTAATAAACATCACAAGAGAAACAAAATATTAATTAAAGACAATAAGACAGAAGAAAGAAATATATGTTTAAAGGCATAATTGCCAAAAGTCAAGTCACAAAACTCAATCTTAAAACTTCAAAACATAATTAGCTTATATAAAACTGATAATAGTAATTTAAATAATTAATGTAATAAACTGTGATAAATTAATAGTCATTTTGTGATAAATTAAATAATTAACTTATAAAACTGTTAATATTAATTTAAATAATTAATGTAATAAACTGTGATAAATTAATAGTCATTCTGTGATAAATTAAATCATTAAGTTATATAAAAACTGTTAATAGTAATTTCAATTATTAATGTAATAAACTGTTATATAAAAAATTGTTAAAAATGTTAATAATAATATCTATCAAAACTTATATATAGCGAAAGATAATACTACATATGTATCAGTTATCTATCTTTTTATTTAAATAAATTTAATATTTTTATAAATATAAGAATAAATAGCAGAAGATAAAAAAAAGACTTACCTCGCAGAAGTCGGAATAATACCAGCGCAAGACAGGAAGACAAAACGCAGAAGGGAATTGCAAGACCAGCGCAAGTCCATGAGGCGTCAAAGACGCTCGCCTCTCAGAAGCGCAAAAGGCGCTAATAAGCGCAAAAGGCGCTCGCCTCTGAGACTCTGAGCCGCCTGGGTAAGTTAAAGGCGATAAACCCTTCGCCTGCAAGCGCCTAGCGCCTTTATTAACGAAAATAAAGGCACCATCTTTTTTAAACTAAGCATAGAAAAATAAAACCCTGCATCCTAAGCTCAACTAAATAATAATTACATTTTATTAACGAAAAATATATATAAGGCAACTAATTAAGGCCCATGATACTACGAATTTACATTTTATAAAGAATACAATTCCAATATAAACCGAAATCAATCTTTTCGGAAACTGATGCCAGTTATGATAGTGTCTTATATCGGTTTTGCAGCAGTAGAAATTTATTACTCCGTATTTGTAAGTTGTAACATGATTATGTAATGACATAAAGCTGTTTATTTTATAGCATATACATTGTGACATTTCCAATTGTATACGTAATGACTAATGACCTCTCAACAATACAAGATAGTGCTTTTGTGATTCTTTTAGAATCAAACAGTCAAGTAGTGTGTGAGATGAAAAGTTTTTCTATAAATATACTAAGTGAACAGATGCTTGCCCTCTGCACGTTCTAACTGGCCGAAGTGCCAAAGGCCCAAACTAAACACTTAAACAGACACCACCCACATTCCTTCCTTCACCTCTTAGGTCCATACAAGAAACAATGGCTAAATTTCTGAAACCAAGCAATTCTATGAAAATAGAAAACAGTAATACAAGTACATATGGTCCACAAATACTACATAAAAACAACACTTAGACAAAACCATTCTGCAAAATCATATATTTCTATGAAAACAAAATAAGTACAATCTTACAATGTGCTGTTCCAGCTGGTAACCCAATAAGCAAGGGTCTCAACATTCCTGGCAACATCCTCAATGGAGTTATTCGTTAATGCAAATACAATTTCCTCTCTATAACTCTCTTTTGCCTCCTCCAGTAACACTTGGAAAATTTCACATTCTATGTTATTTTTTAGTTTTGCATCTGAGTAACCCCTGCACCACCATTACAATAGTAGATGAAAAAATGTATTGAGATTGGTAAGGGTGAAAATGAAAGAGAATAATAAGAATAAGAGCATGTGTGGTACCATAATGTGGACTACTCTAAGCAAAATAATAGGAATAACCACATTAAGTAGTTTTCTATTTACTTATTCGGCCGAAATTGTTTTACCAAATGCTTTATCTTTTAGAAAATTCATCATATTTGGCCACATAAGCTAAATAACCCTCACCCGTCATATTTTAAGTACCCATTTGGTCAGCTTGTTTTTTAATTACCAGCTTATGCACTAATTTTTTATTTCACGCGCTAAATTTGTTAACAATGAAAAAGTACAAACGGAGGTACTTTTAACTATTCATATAATTCTTTCTGCACTTTATGTTCATATACTCCGTATGTTTTACCTTCTTTTTTATAATTCGACAGATTGAGCTAATTCATCCAAAACTTCTCCAACTTCAAGGGATTTGACAATTCAGTTCATTTTAGTCTTACCTAATGGGCTCTAACAAACTTATTTGAATTTAAACTACTTCTTCCTAAGCTTTTCCTTCTAGGATATTCAATAGGTATAGTCGCTTCAACCACCGCATTATCTTTCGAAAATTCAACAGATCTAGTCACTTCAACCAAATAATCCTTAGAAAAGCCCTTAATATGTTACCTCTGTTTCAAGCGATCATACAAAACAGAATTTTCAGTTTGAAGAACAACAACACGATCAAACCAACGCTCTGGAAAGAAGTCACATCCGTGGTAATCAATAATGTTTCCACCTTGTTCCATCATATCCTCAAGTTCATCACAAACCTAGAGGAGAAGCCATTAACAATTAGACTTAAAACAGGAAAAATTGTTCAGAAATGCTCAATGAGAAACTTTTTTTAACTTATATCTGTTATCTGTCCATGTTTGGCACCAGCTCAAGTTTTGTAAATTTCCAACAACAACAAAAACTGATTTCAAACCTTGAAGCATTTGAGAGGTTTGATTGGTTCTCAAATCTAGCAAAAACAGGATTATAATAAAACCAAATTTAATTTCTTATAAGTTATAACCATATTATTAACAACTAAATGGCACTGAAAACAATACTAACTAGGTACTACTCTCCGTTACCAAGTTACTACACTAATGAAGTGATTGTTCTCAAAATTCTTATAGGCAATATTGTCTTTCTTATTCTTTTCAAACGTCGGGTGCAAATGCAAAATTATATTTCGTACGGATACACAAGCAATTGAACCTTTACTCTTCTAGAGTACACGAAATAATCTGAATGTTAATTGAAAAGATCTGTTAGCAAGAGCAGGGAACGTTGTCATTAATGTGTAAGCCTTACAAGGTCTTCGTTGATGATGAAACAGTCGAGCTCATCGTCCCAGCCGTCGTGCAAGTTCTTCACTTTGACTAGATCGCCGATGTTTATGTGGCGAAGCTGAGCGGCGTCCGCGAGGGCAGACGCCGTCGTCGTCTTCCCCGTACCCGGAGTTCCCGTCATTAGTATATTTGGCCTCTGTCGGCAGCTGCTGCTGGTATTTTGAGCCATAATTGCTCCAATTGTACGCCTCGAAGATGTGTGATATGAACGCCCTAAGCCCGGCAACTAGCATGTACAAAAGTGTGTATAAGAGTGTACAAACATCATTTTTGTAATCTACAATTTTGATAGATTATTTTGGTCGATGTTGTCTGCTGTTGATAGAGTAGGTTTCACTTTGGATATACTAGAATCTCACTCATGCGATGCACGGATAAGTAATTTAAAAATGAGTATAATTAACATAGTTTTAAGATACCTTATAAAAATTTAAGCACGTGATATGTTTAATTTAGAGAATATAACCATGTTCAGTTTAGAAACCGTTTGATAATATTAAAATGGGCTGAATCCGCTGATTATGATGAAATTTATGAAATTACAATTGTAATGACTGCATTAATATAAAAAAATTACAGAAGTGTGCCAAAATGATAGATCTGAACAAATGTTTATAACTTTATATGAGTGGCAAAAAAATTGCAAATTTAGTAAATTAGAATTTTAAGTAAAACAACTTTTGGACTTCATAGTACTATAATAAGATAAATCATTTTTCAAAGAAAAACTCATTTTTAATATTTAAACATATATTCTGAATGTATTCATGTAACCTGCACTTTAATGCACTTTAATTTTTTAAGTCAAACTCAGAACTTGAATGTATGGATTGGTGTCTTTATAGCCTGGGTATGATGCAGCTCAAAAATATAAACCAACACAAACAAATATATCAATTGACAGTTGAGCATGATGAAACAAATAAAGAGCATACAAGCAAGAGTCTAGAGAGCAACAAACTCATCCTCAGATGTAGAGCTCAACATTCTATTAATGTTAAACACGAGTGACATTATAATGAGCTACAAACTCATCCCCAGATATATAATAAACCCCAGTACCCCACCACAAATAAAATAGATGTAGGATTTTTAAATAAGAAAGTTATACCGTTTATTACTTGAAGCATAGGTAATCAGTTCAATGTTCAAACTAAATATTTTCCAATTTCTGCTGACACTATAAAATGTTATTAATTTGAATATTTAAAGTTTTACAGATTTGAATCTATTTACAAGTGATCACAGGATGAAATCAGTTTGATATCCAAACTGAAGGTAACACATTAGAAGAAGCGTCTAAAACAAAAGGTTGTTCACTTGGAAGAGACTTTGCCATACGAGTCCACCGTTTGAGAATATAACAATCCGGAATAACTTCTACACACTGAATATGATATATACGAAGAATACGACAACACAAAATACCAGCCTCTGGGAATTTCTGACAAGAACAACTAACAAAATGTGTTGTTACATCAAATGAAACCCAATGTGAAAATCGATCCGTTTGAGGCATCCATACTAAATATCCCATTAAAGAACCTTGATGGTATCTAAGTTCAAATTTCAAAGACATACATCGCATAAATTCATTCTCAAAAAGTTTATAAGCATCAGTAGTATAAAGCTTGGAAGCTTTATGTAACAAACTGACATGAGGAATGGCAATTTCAAGAAAACCATCCAAACAACGCTGATTATCTTTGCCCTCATTACTTCTCCAATGACTGACAGCTTCACTAAAAAATGATAGAAGCCACATAGAGAAGAGGTAGCATTCAATTTTCTAGACAAAGAGTGATTTGTGGTCTCGCTTCGCTGTGAAGATAAAATGCCAGCAGAAAAGAATTCTTTTGAAAAAGATGGACACCATTTGTCCCTCATCTCATACAGTTTGCTTAACCAAGGATTATCAGAGCAATTATATTCAGATATCATTCTACAAAGCACAACAGATAATCATTTCACACAACTCCTTACTCATTAATGTTCTAAACAATACTCATGAATACAATATTAATGTAAATAAGGAAAAAGGAAAAAATATATAATGTCAATGAAACATACATATTCCACTATTAATCAAATTCAGCAACGGTGTGACAAAGTTTCAAAACATGATCAAACAAATCCAAGAATCCCTCTTGATTCCTTAAATCGCGTATATGTTTCTTAGAATTTTCAATGATATGCCATATATAAAGACAATGTTTGGAGAGAAGAAAAACTATAGAAATGGCAGCAGCCATGGCAGCAGATTGATCTGTCATAACAGTTCTTGGGTGGACAGAACCCATAGATTGCAAAAAAGTATTAAAAAGTCATTCAAACGACTCAATTCTCTCATTTAACAAAAAGCCACAATCAAACCTGCAATTATGAGTGTGAGAGTTAACACCAACAAACGGTCCACAAATCATGTCATACTAGTTGGTGCGGTAAGTCGTATCATGGATAAGCAAGCAATTCACCAAATGCAAGATAATCTTCCTTCATTTTCTTGTCTCTCAAAAAAAACTAATCAAACTACCATCCATATCAAACTCAAAAGAAAAGAAAAAACCGTCTTCATTTGCCCGACTGTTCTTAAAAGTATTAATCAATGTGTTTGCATCACAACCATCAAATGATTTTTTAATCTTTTTTGTCAACTCATTATAGGCGTCACGCAAAAGAAAACTAACAGCAGGAGATCCACCAGCTTCTGCTTGCAAGCAACGAAAACCATCTGCTACTTCAACTCCTTTATTTTTCAAATACTGCAAATACTCTAATTCACTTGATGAAACAGCACGATGAGACCTAACATGATGAACTAAAGAACTCGGGAAAAAATTGTGATTATGAACCATATCATGCCTAACAACAACAAACTCACCAGTAGGCTTTATCTCGAAATATATTTTTGCCTTGCAATCAATTCGCCTATCAACTTTTGTATATTGTTTACCTACAACACCTTTATTTCTTTTTAGACCTTGTTTCGTGCAACAAAATTCCCTTCCCCTAATGCCAGAACCACCACCTCGATCTCTTTCTTAAAGTAGAATAACGAACACCAAATCCAATTCTGTAAGCGTACTCATTATATAACTCAAATGCCTCTTTTTCTGAAAAAAATGTTTTACCCGATAACTCAGAAATTTCAGGTTCCTTAACTGATATTGTTTCAACAGACAAAGGCTCATCAAATTGGTCTACATGAACAAAAGTAGAAGAATTTTGAACTGCCAAAAAAATTTGAAAAAAAATTAACAAAGTGATAAAATGTAAGAAAGCACAATACTTGGTAGCACAGGAACAGATTTTGTTCTAGACAAAAAATCTCCACTTAAGGTATCACCAGACTCGATCCAAGTAATCTGAATCAATAAAAAAACAGAAGTAAATATCAAATAGCTCAAAGTAAATAACACACAGAAAACAACAACAACAATATGTGACTTGTAAGGAGAGAAAATATTACTGCAATCAACTTCAAACAGATCGCCTCTGGCCTCAATATCCTTTATTAATTTGCCACTGCAAGACATATCATCTAGACAGGGGATAACAATTCAAAACAGAGAAAACAGATGATCATTACTAAGTAAAATAATACTCATCAAATATAAAGAAAGTGTTATTTGAAAAATTACCTCCACAACTAGACATAGCATCAATTCTTGGATAAAAAAATGCTGTGACATAAAACATTTGAACTGAATGAAAACAATGATTTTGTTCCAACAACAGAAGAAAATAACCTAAGAAGAACTACTTACTTACACCTTCAGTGGACCAAAACAAATGCAAAAAACCTAAACCTGCGCAAGAACAAACGGAAATAAATAATAAAGATGAGGAAGCAAGTACAGAAACTAAGATTGAAGATGGAAACAACAAAGAAGAAAAATTGATTAAGACAATAAGATATTGTAGTTTTCAAAAGTGGAGAAAATATGAAGCAAAATAAAGATTGAATGCGGTAGAGAAGAAATATTACTCGCATTGATGACCAAACGGAATCTTCAGCTGGAAAGATTGAATGCGGTAGAGAAGAAAGAGACGGACGGAAAAAACCTAGGAGAAGAGGACGGACCAGCCTCCGACGAAGAGGACGGACCAGCAAGGACGAAGAGGATGAACGAGCGCGGATGAAGAGGACGGACCAGCAAGGACGAAGATCGGATTAAACAAGAAGGCTCAAAGTTGCGGTTAATTTCAAAAAAAAAACGGGTTGTACCATGAGAATGGTACAGCCGGCTGTACCATGTAAATTACGCCCGAAATCCCCAATTAAAGGACTTAATGTTTAACGGCATAGCATGTGTACTTCTTCAGGAGTTTATGTTATGATGTTGGGCCTAGATTTGGAAAGACTTGTGCTAGCAGCTGGGCCTATTGGGATCGCCAAATGGAGCAATTTTGCAGGCTTGTTGGTGAAAATCAATTTATACGGGGGAAAGTTGTTGTACCGGTGGGCATAGCTCAACTGGTAGCGAGGGAGTGTCATAAGGGTTAGGTCCAGAGTTCGAATCTCGGCAACTGCAATGAGAGATTACTATGCTAAAAATTCATAGGGCCTCTGCAAGTAACGGGAACATAGTCTCACTCTTTATCTGTCAGATTGCGATTATAGTCCAATTTACATCCTCCCAACGTACGTCCCGTCGGTGTTAGGGGGGCTCAGGGATGGGGTGTCATCCTTTTTAATGCAATGATAAAGTTGCTAACATGTATACTGACCTACAGGTTACAGTCCTCAAGGTAATGAAGTTACCCCTACTACTCTTGCGAATTTGATCCTTCATTATTATTATTTGATCAAAGATTGAAGGTTCGAAATAATTAAAAAAACGGTCGTATGGTTCTTGTTCATTTGTATAAAAATGAACTAGAACCAAATGGAAAATGAAGGTTGATCAAATAAATATTTTCGAAATTAAAAAATGAAAAAAAAAAGTAACAAAGAAACGAGAATTCGAAAATAAGGGAAAATTCTAAATTTGTTCGATAATTTTAATGTTGTATGAATGGTATCCAGGATTCCGCAGGTGTGATTCTATGTGCAGCTGAAAGAGCTACTCAAGTTGTTCTTCAGGTACGAATTATGGAATCCCAGTGAGTTCTTTTGAAGGAATGTGAATGAGTATCCAACCGGGCGTCTCCTTCGCGATTCAAAACTGTATGAAATAAGGGCAGGTACCAGTGAGATCAGAAAAATGA